ATATAGTATTTCTTAGATTTAGAAAAATAGAAACCAATAAAATACACATCTATTTCTTTCTCCAATACAATTACTTGTCTATTAAATAAATATTTATATTAATACCCATGGACAATGATGATCATATAATGCTATACATCTATTACATTATCTACAATGTTTAGAACGAATAATTTAATCTTGATTACATATTGGACAATATCTTTTTTCAATAAACATACTATTTCCATGATGTACACTTTAATCAATATTTTTATCATTATTTGCAGATTTAGGTGATTATTGATGTTCAACTTATTCAACATTGATTTCTTATTGATAATTAAATTGAGGTTCTGTTTGTGTATTAGGATTGTTATTATTATTTATATCAGGCTTAGTACTTCCTTAAGATAGTACTTAAGAAGTTCTGGCATTATTTTAATGTGGACTTTACATTTATGAAACCATCTTAGAAGGAGTTTTAGATTTCTCTGGAGTCTTTTCATAGGATTTAGCATTATTATCTATATTTTGAATTTCATTATCAGGGAAATTTTATTCATCAACTGATGCTTCACATTCCATTTCAAATTCATCTTTATTCCTATAATAAATTGATTTATTATACTTTGGTTTCTCTTTAGCTTATTCTACAACTTTTAAATCGATTTGTTCTTCTTGTATTTACTCTTTTGTTCTCTATTGAGAATTTCCTGGGAATTAATGAAATTATTATCGCTTTTTTTAATATGGATTCGAACTATCTGTATATTAATAATCACTTATCGTAACAAATCCTGGCTTATCATATCATTATTATTTACATCCTTGAATGCAGTAAAACCATAGAAAATTAAAGTAAACATTATCATCAAATACAAATAATAAGTACCCAATTTTGAACTTTCAAATAAACTATCATCTACAATGCTAAAAATGCTTAGCAAATAGATTTGCATAATTCCATAGAATATTGGTGCTCAAAGATTCAATTAAAATATACCTAATTTAACCATTAATCCACTTTATATTAATAATTAAAATAATAACCATTTTTATATTTCCTATTGTTAAATTAATTATATTAAATAAATTGATATTATAATATAAAAATAAAATAAAAAAAAGGGTTGTCAACACGAGGACTTCCCAAGCGGTCCCCCACCTTAGTACTAACCTCGCCTTAAGCCGCTTAACTTCGGAGTTCGAATGGGATCCGGTGCTTTAGGCTTAGTATGGCCGACAACGATATTTATATTGTTTACTATTATTTATACTCCTTATTTAATAATTATTTCTATTTAATTACTAAAATACAATTTATATTTGAAAAAAAAACTATAGATAATTTATATTCTTTAGATATATTTTGATAATGAGCCCGAATAATTCGAGGTGTTTATCTTTTAAATACTATAATTTTATATTCTGATTTAAAATTTATTTATGAAAATAATGTTATTAAATTTATTAAATGATTCCAATATAAAAATTAGCTTCTTTATTGATTCGTACATTCTCAAAACCTCTGTCTAATTAAATTAAGAGATATGCATTAAATAAGCATAGATCTAGAAAGCCAAGCCTTGTAAAAACAGCCTTTGTGTTCTTAGGAAACAAATACCATAATGTTGAGACTTTTATTAATCGAAAATCTATTGGAATTAAAAGTTAAGAAATGTTTTTTAAACCTTTGACTGATGAAGCAGCTTTAAATAAAGGTAGTATTTGATTAATTTTAGGATCTGATTTCTTTGCAGATATATTTGTTTATGCATGTATTTTAGGAATTCCTTTGTTGGAATTGTACAAATCTTAAAGAGATTCAGCCAAGAAATCATAAGAATAAGACACTGCGCTTTAGAACTATTAAACTGTAATTATATAGTCAAAATAGAGTAAATAGATAATCTTAAATAATTAAATGATCAATTCTAAATTGAATATAATAGAATAGTGGCAGAAAATTAATATATTGAGCAATCTCTAAAACATTTTGAAAAAGATATCGATGATTAAGTCCAACATTTATAAAAACAACTAAAATCTTGAAAAATAAATAATGATTACAAAATTATTGTTATTTAAAAATAATAAATAAAGAGCAGGCACAATTTTCATATTTAAAATTCAAATTTCTACGCTATTTCTAGATTTAGTACAACTAATTATATCAGTCAACATTCCATTAAACCAAATACCTTTTTAATACATTCCTTGCTATATAAAAACTCCTTGACCATGTTGTACATTATTTTCCCATTCTCCTTCATATGAACTTCCATCAGTAAATTTATATTTTCCAAATCCATGCTTTAATCCATCTTTCCATTATCCATTATAATAACTACCATCAGGATATTTATATTTGCCATTACCATTTTTCTAAGCTTCAATCCAATCACCTTCATAAATACTCCCATCTTGGTATGTTTGTTTACCAAAACCATTTTACTTATTATTAACCCATTCTCCTTCATAACAACTTCGATCTTATTACTTATAAATTCCTTTTCCATTCTTTTAATCATTCTTCCATAATCCTTTATAAAAACTTCCATTTTTATATTACATTTTCCCCAATCCATTCTTTTAACCATTTTCCCATTTTCCTTCATAAAAACTTCCATCAGCATAATAATATCTGCCTTATCCATGTTTCTTTCCATTAAACCATTATCCCTCATATTAACTATTATCAATATTAACATGTTTTCCTTCTCCTTGTTAAACATTATTATGCCATTATCCATCATAATAACTTCCATCTTTATATTTATATTTCCCTAAGCCATGCTTTTAATCATCTTTCCACATTCCAGAATATTAGCTACCATCAGAATATTAATAAATCCCTTTCCCATTTTTCATACCATTATTCCAATTTCCATCATAAGTACTCCCATCAGAATAGATCTATTTACCTTAACCATTCTATTTGTTATTCCCCCATTATCCTTCATAAATGCTACCATCTTCAAAAATATATTGTCTTTGCATTGTACAAAATGATTGAGGATTAAAATTATTTAAATAATGTGCTTTATAAATAAAAATTTCATTATATAGAATTTATGAAATAAAGGATAAAATATAACTCTTATTCTCTATTAATGCTTTGAATTCTTCTTTTTTAAATTAGATAAACATTTAATAACTAGAATTTTGATTTAGTTCAATTAAGAATCCTATTTATTAATTTTACTTTTAATTCTAAAAATATACAATTCTAATTTGATAAGCATATCAGTGTAGATAATATAGAAAATAATACATATTTTCCTTATTAAACTAGGTAAATTAGTAAAGAATTTTTATTGATTTAATAAATTTAATAAGAAATATGCCAACAAAAGCAAAATATGATGAATTTGAAATTTAAAGATTTTTTGGTTGTCGTGAGGTATAAAGAAGACTAATAACATATAGTATAAAGTTAAATTAGGGAAAAATGATCAAGGCCAATACTTTTTGCTTAATTTCTTTCATATCAGCGAGAGGGATTAACTTTAAAAATTATAAAACATCCAAAATATAGAGCATCCTGCCATTCTTAAGATAGTTTAGATCAGAAATGAAGGAATATACACAGTTTAATATTAAAAATGATAATTAGAAAAAAAATAACATTTAATTAAGCAGATCATGTGTGATTTATGAATATCCTACAGGGGGTGAACTATATGAATACTTATTCTAAACAGGAAAATTCCATGAAGCCTAAGCCAGAGTATATTTTAAATAACTTGTTGAGGGTAAAAATAATTGACATTTAAAAGGATTGATTTCAATTCATAAGTTAGGATTATATCATGGAGAATTGACAACAGAAGTAATCTATTTTTCTGATGCAAAAACAATTAAAATTGGTGAGCTAGGACTTAATTAGATAAGAAAAAAAAAATATAGTAAAATATATTTAAAAGTATTAGCTTTTGAGACTCCAACATGGAATAAAGAGAATAACAATTACGAATAAAGTAAAGATATTTTTGCACTTGGAATGATCTTGTTCATTCTAATGGTTGGAAAACCTCCATTCTCCAACACTGAAAAGACAAACCCAAATTTTTCTGGTTTGTAATCTGCATCTCAAGCAATTTGGAAACAGCTAAAAATGATTTATACTAATGTGGCTTTCACTGATGAATTTATGTAAAATATTCTTTGCTTATTTCTATTAGGGACCTTATAGAAGGAATGTTGACTGCTAGTCCAAAAAATAGAATGTCATTAAGTGAAGTTTATAATCATCCATGGACTTAGATTTAATCAGAATTTACAGAAGAAATGGTTAGAGAGTTTAATTCAAAGCAAAAGAAGATTGAATAATTTTTAATAAAAGCCAATTTAACTCGTGAGCTTAAATAAGGGCAGATGATTATTAGCAATAATAAATCAACACGTATAATAAAAATTCATATGTAGTTCAAACAGGGCTTGGTTTGTTTAGATCAGAAAATGAAGCAACAAAACAATCTGAGGTGATATAAGAAATTTAGTAGATTGATAATAAAGCTTTAAAATCTATATCTGTAAATATTATTTATTATAATATTAGCCTGATTTAATGAGGTCTGATAGTTATTTAATTAATTTAGATCCAAATTAAATCATGAAATTAATAAAAACAAAGTTAGATGCAAAAGATTTTAATTTAAAAATTGAGAAAGAATAAAATGAATTTAGTGTAAGCATTCATAGAATAATTTAGTTAATAATTTCAAGTGATTTAAAAACAAATATTAAAATGGAAATATTTTAAGTTGAAACTTAAGAAAATACTTTTTGTGTCTTGAATTTTACAAAATAGAAAGGTGATTTTTTTGACTATATTGAAACAATAAAAAGATTTCATTAATTAATTGATAACATATAATAAGAATTATCAAATGATTCATAAAGAAAAGAGAAAACAGTTTGAGATTTATTATATATGCATATAATTTATAGATTTAATTATTTTTGAGACCTATGAAATTGCTTTATGATATTTAATTATTAGGTTGGTGTGATTTTCAATTTAAATTGTAAACAGCTAATATTCTTGTAACCTGAACAGCCATAATTATTACCTCTAAGGATTCATAAAGTTCATTGATTTCAACCTACTTAACCTTATTACCTTAATATAAGCCAGTTATTCTTCTTTTTATTATTTAAAAATTAATAATAATTGCACTTATAATGAAAGCATCAAAGGCAAATGATTGGTTCTCATTATTAGTGCTTTAGAATAGTCACAAATCTCTTCTAAAATAGTCTGATGATTAATCATGATAAGTCACTAAAAAGAAATCTTCTTATGGCCTATTAAAAATATTTCATTAGTTTCTTATGGTGATCATATTAATCTATATAATAATATCATTTATTTTATAAAGTTTGACTTATTATTTATTATAAAGAAAAAATTATAAAAAAGTTTAAGATCTGAGAATATTAAATAGTATTATAATATTTTATTATTTATTTTAATGGATATCTCTTTTAATGACTTGAAATTCATTTAATAAATAGGTTAGACTTTGAATTTGGAAGAAAGGTATAGATTGAAATTTCTATAGATAGAATAAAACTAAAATTGGCAATTCTAAAGATTCAAGAACATTATACATTTGATGAAGTATTATTTTGGGGAAGAGTAGAAGGTGTAGAAAAAGACTATTACATAGCAATGGGAATTTAGTATAAGGGATAATATGAGTTTCCATTGAAAAAATTCTATTGGAGGTATTCAATCAAAAGAAGAATGAATTTAGTTCCAATAATTATCACTTTGCTGAGTTACCAAAATATAATGAAGAATATGCATTAAGAGCTGAAAACTTAAGAGAGCCTTTTACAGGTTAACATGAACATATTGTTTTTAAAACAGAAGAAGAGATTAATTTTGAGGATTCTTTGGAAATCCCTGCGTAACTGCCAGCAAAACACTTTTCAGAATTAGAAAGACTATCTTTTGTTGTTTAATAGATTGAATTTTAATGTGCTTCAATACCTGTGGGATCCTACCGTTTGACACCTACTCATGAATTAATTAGAAAAACATTTAAGGGAGTGAAACCAGAATTGAAAAATTATTAGCATTTTAGAGCTCCAATTAGGAAAGATAAATAAGATTTAATAGGTAGAATTGAATTTTATATTCAAGCTCGTGATGAAGCTTTGTATAAGGAAGATTTCTTAGATTCATTAGTAGAAGATTCTCCTAATTAATAATGGTCTTTATAAACAGATTCAACCTAAAGAAATGTAATTCTATTTATTATAAAAATCAGATAACACTAAGGAATTTAATTTGGCCAGGGTATGTTACATATAACAATGACTATACATTTGGATATGCTTATTTTGGAGATGGAATAAAGAATTCAGATTTTGAGTTTTTATTATGAGTCAGAATAAATTAAATATGTTATTTTGTATTTTATATTGATAAATGATTATATAGTCAATGTCCTAGGCATTGATTGATTGCTTCGGATGCATGCAAATTTACTTATTGTGCCACATAATCATAATATGCTCTAGATCTATGGGTGTAGAAACCATACACTTATGAGCCTAGAATCATTGATCCTACAAACCTTAAATAATGCAATCAATATCATTACCTGGGTCCAGTCCTTAAATATGTAAATCTTCTGAATACAAAGTAAGATATTATAGCAGTACCAAATCCTAATTTAAATCCAGTGCTCTCTTCTTATTATAAATCCAAAAAGGCAGTTTTAATATTTTACACATCATGAATGTCATATTGGAAATCTTTTTCAGAATTCATTATTAATATTTATATTTATTATTTTTTAATATTCATCAATTATTAGCCTTATATTTTTCTTACAAATATGTTTGAAAATACGAGGACTCAAAAACGCAGTTCATAATAAAATCTTTATTATCAAATTATTAACTGGCAATCTATGCTTTTATAAGTCTCTAATTCCAGCCATTCTTTATAAAGAGAGGATTTGCATCTGGTACAACATTTTTAATTAATTCAGTTTCAATCAATTCAATCATTTTATATAAAAATACCTTGCATTTTTCTGCCTGCTCTTAAGTAAAAGTTGATGAAAAAATAAATTCTTAATTCTTATATCCTCTAATATCAGAAGAAACATTAAAAAAGTTAAAAGTCTTGATGCAAAGACTAAATTTATTTTGATTATCTTAGATTAGTTACGATGTAACAGCAATTTAACAATTTCTTTTCTTTTAAACTTTTATTTCTATTATCATCAATTCGTTATTTTTAATTAGATCTTGATATTTTTAGTCATTGTAAAATCTTTAATTTATTCCTATAATCATTGGAGTTTCTGATATCAATACATCTAAAGTTTCTTAATTTGAATAATATATCACTGGATGAAGCCATATAAACGGATAAATTATTTTATGAAAGAAGTAGCAAACAGAAGTTAAGATATTGATATTTGGGCAAAAGAAAACCACTTATTTTTCGCTCAAAATCTACTGAAAGATATCAAAAAATTCTTCAACACGAAAAATCTGCAAAGCAACATGTGCATACTTAATCATAGTATTTACTATTATCTAATTTTTTGCTGTTTTAAAGCCTTCTTGATTATTTATGTTTATCTATTCTATAGGTAAAGAATAATTCAAGTATTTTTGTGAGATTTCCAACTCTTACTATAAACAATCTTTCAAATTAAAATTTATTTTTGGTTTATCAAAATCAATATTCTCTTTCAATAATAAACTAATAGAATTTTGTAGATTTTTCTCCACTATCTAAAATTATTATTCAATAAAATACATAATTAATATTTACAGCATCTATATCTTAAAATATTTTGAAATTATAATAAACTTCCTCTTATTATGTTATTTCCCTTCTTATTTTTCTTCCGTTTATCAATTCTTTATGTTTTCTCATTGCATCTTTTCTTTATATTTACATTAAATCTAATTTATTATTAAAAGTTAAATACTAGTAACAAATTTTAAGAGTTAATCAAATATCTGAGGAATTGGAAAATAAGTTATAAAACAATAGTACTTTTTACATTTCCAATACTAAAATCCATCTTCTTAAAAAGTAGTTATATAATCATCAACACCCTAAACAAATACTAATAATTATTTATTGTTATTCAAAGTAGTCAATAACTCTATGTTTTTAGGAGCTTCTTTATCAAATTCAGTAGATTTTATATTAAATATAAAAGAATTTTCTTATAACACATTTTATTCTTCTAGACACCTAAATTGTTAATTAGTAAATACCTTTAAATCAAATTCTCAATTTCTGAATGATCAAATAATCTTTCTACAACAATAAGATTATTTTCAAAATATTTTTTAATTTATTTTGATCTATCAATCCAAAGTGTTCTTTCAATTGTTGTCAAGTTTGGTTTAAATTATTTATATAATATCTTAGGTTTCAATAGAGATATGCGATTTTATTACGAAAAATCTTTAAATTGCTTATGCTTCACTCCAATTATAAAAAAAGATTCGAATAAGGATTAGTTTTCTTGGCATTTTTTATAATCTACATTATAGGGATTTTTGTAAGCCAAATTCAATTCATTCAACACACCTATTCCTTTTTGTATTATTGAATTTGTCAAATTTCTTAAACTTTATTATTCTATTTAGCATGGAAGTCTTTCTATAATTTATTTTATTTTCTTCTCGAATTTATTTTCCTTATGAACGAGTAATTTTCTTATTTTCTGCATAATCAATTATTTATCTTTATCATATTATTCAATATTGTTTTATTAAATTTATATTTCTCTATCAACTTCAATTAATTTTTATTATAATTCTCTTATATCCTTTTTGAGTTTAGCATTTTCTTATTCCATTTATTATTTTTATAAATATACAAAAAATTAATGATATTTCACATATAAAGTATAATCATTTATATATATATATTTAATTAAATTTTTCATAATTTTGTAATAAATTGATTTTTAGAGATTTCCAATTATAATTTAAAGATATATGTTTTAACAAGAAAATATATAGATGCCCTTATAAAATAAATATTGGAATATATGACAATTATTTGGATCAATTAATTTATAAAATTATGAATTTATTTCATTTATACATGTTATTAAATCTAAATTTTTAGATAATGTAATAATTCAAAGTTGATTTATTTTGTTAAATTTTATTTTTTATATAATTTCAACAACAAATGTAATATTTTTAAATAAATGGTTTATTTACAAAACTAATTTTGAATTAATAGAGATAAAATTTGATATAGAAGGATTCATCATATTTAAAGGTTTATAAAATACCTATATGAATAATATTTATTTAATTTGGAATTCTTGAGAATAATCCAGGGTATTTATATCATCTTAAAAGCAAGAAATGAACAATATAATTACTTTAGAAAGAAATAAACCTCTTAAATATCCTTCAAATGATGTTTCAATGAATTGGCCCTCATTTTAGTCTTGTAATGTCAGTCAATATCGATTGCATTTAGCAACAGATAGAGTATTTTAACATTCTATAGGAAAATACAGTGATACTGAGAGTGAAAGGAATGAAATTCCATAAAACCTTGTCAAATTATCTGAATTTCAATAACATTCTTAGCAAAATGATAGAAACTAATAGCTCTTAAAAAATGAAAATTTTTGGATAGCAAAATTTATTGTTTCTGATTTAACAAAATCATTTTTACTAATCCTATCATTTATTTTACCAATTCTTTATATTGAAGAGTATAAGTAAGATGATATTTAATAATAAAGATTTAAATCAACACAATTAAAAATAACAATTACTATTTTGATGTTATCTTTAGAAATGGTCTCAATATTTATAAAATTGTATTCTTAGATTTTAAAACATCAGGTGATGCAACTAACTGTTGTATAGATTATGAATCTGATAGTATACACAATCTGCTCTATCTTGGAAGACTAATTATCATATGGAATCTTGTCAATCTACTTGTTTGTTGGAAATTTTTAAACACTTGGAAAATTGTGTAAATTACTTACATTCTTAAATTATGAGTATATTATTGTATTTATTTGTCATAGATAGTAAAATTATTTCATAATTCTAAGTTGTATCTATTTTTCACTTCATCTTTTTGGTTGTATGTGGAGAGTGGAATATGAAGAATAGAATTAAGAAATAATTTCATATTAAGATGGTATATATCAATCATTTTTAATATCCTTATTGAAAATAGACGAAATGGAAATTGAGAATAAATAGTTAATAATTTTGAATGTTACATTTAACGCTGGCATGATATTATACATATTAAAGTGTCTATTAATGAGTTCTATTGAGAAATCTAAACGTCAATTATTATTAGACTCATTCCGACTCTATCTATAATCTTAGTTGATAAGTTTCAAAAGCAAGTTGGTTATAATTCATTATTCATAAATTTTTGAAGTTTTGGAGGAAGATCAAACGCTTTAGTAGGAATAAAGAATTAATAAGGTTTCAAATTATTTGAAATAGAAATTGATTAAATAAGAGTTATCAAAAGTTAAATTTCTATCTGTTAGCACTTTAGAATTAATAAGTCAGAATGGAACTTTTATTTAAAGTCTACCTTTAAATGTATTTATGATTTAAATTATAAAGAAATTAAGTACTGAAATTGATGGTTTATATATCATTTTAACTGGAAACACTTATGTGGATTTTATGGGATTCCAAATTAAATTATAAAGTCAAAAAGTAATAGAATTGAGTTTGACTGAAGTTATCAATAATTAATGGCAAGGGAGAGTGAAAATAGAGCAAACAGATTCCAAAGAAGTTTTATATTTTTTTATATAAAAATAAATTCTAATTGGTATATTATAGTAATCAAAAGAAAGGGTATAATTACTATATTAAATTAGGAAGTTTATTAGATGATTAAAGATGATATAATATTTTATAATGATACTACAAAATTGAATTTTAGATGTTACTTTTGTGAGTAATTTCATCCTAGTTTTAATTGTTCATCTTTTAATATTAAGAGAAGATTCAATTATGATTAAATTTATCAGGAAAGAGATGCTAGATATTCAAGAAAAGTAACTAAAAAGTCAAGATCTGCTATTTTTTAATAGGTAAGATCATGAAATAATAATTAGATTACATATTAAGGCACTAGTAATCATAATGTATTTGAATAGAGTTCTGATAGTTTTGAAGCTTTTTCAGATAACTCTAGTGAACATATTAGTAGTGCAAATATTGGAGTGGATTAAATTACTAAGCTTCCATCTACAAAATATATATATAAGGAGATTTTATAGGCTGATATCATATCGGATAAATTGACTGAACCTATAATTAGCAGTACATTTTTAAGAAATCTAACCACTAGTCCAGATAATATTATAAAACGTTCTATAATTAATAATACTCCATAATAATAAGCATGTTTTTAGGATCTAGATTCATTATTTGAGATTGATAAAATGGTAGAGTTCCAAGATTATAAAACAAAATTCAATATTACAAATATCATATAAATTCTCAATAAGAAAAGAAATTGATATATTAAATATATATTATGACTTTTTAATTACCTCATAATTTCTAAAACAGATCAGTTCAAAAAATAGTATAGGAATTAATGTATGATGAGTATTTGGATAGAGACAATTTACTTAGGAATGCATTTATCTCATCACCTTTGAAGAGTGGGAAGAAAAAGATATCCATATCAAAACATAGATATAATCACTTTTTATAATAATCACCAAGTCAATTATATTCTCCAGGACTATTAAACAATTAAAATAAAGTAGTTGGAATTATTGCAATGCAAAAAAAAAAGAATTCAGTCCCTCTAAATGTATCAGTAAACCAATTAATTGAAAATAATACTAGTCCTACTAATAATGCCATTGTTAGAGTAAGCAAAAGAAATAAGGATTACAAACCTAAAGAACTTAGAGGTTTATCAATTTCAGATCATGTTTCAAGATAAAAATTAGTATTCCCATAAGTTTAGAGATTAAGTTAAGTAAAATAATAATAGTTTGCATCTCCAAACTTTAATTTTATTGATGAGAATTTTGAAGGATATAAATTAAAATCTGAAGAAATGTCATTAGAAATTGATGAATATATGAGAATGTAAAAACATAATAATAATAATCTAAATTTATTACCAAATATTTATTCAAGAAATTAATGAATTATTTAATACTTTTATTACTCACAAATATTAAACTAAATTTTTTAGTGATCTAATCATAAAAGCTTTATTAATCATTTATTTACATATTAATATATATAAATTGAAATTTAATTTTAAAATACAATTTTATTGATGTCAAAAAAAAGAAGAGGAATGTATTTTATAGAACAAATACTTGATTATAAATAATACAACGGCTAGAAATATTATCTTGTAAAATGGCAAGGCTATAATAACAAAGATTGCACTTGGGAAAAACCAGAAAAGATACCAAATTTAGCTTAATTTTTGCACTAATTTGAAGAAAATCTAAAATAACATGGATCTAATTTTTATCATATTGATAATGATGAACCACCTTAATTAGAAGATTTTATAGGAGTACCAAGTCAATCCAAATAGAATTAGTATCAATAATAATAAGAACAAATATAAATATTACAAAATTAGGTAGATCAATTAAAGTCAGAAATAGAGCAAATGAAGAAATAACAAGATGAAATAGTCTAAATAATGACTGCATCTTAATAAAATGAAAAGTCCTTTTAACCAAATTAATAGCAGGATTCTGAAATCATTTAGGAATCTACATCAGAATAATCCCAGAAAAACACTGAAATTAAATTACAATGTGAAGGTGGATTTGAGTTTGGAGATTAATTAGATAAGATAGGTCAAGCTGTACAAGTCAAGGGTAAAGGCCAAAAAATGTATTATCTATTGTGGCAAAAGCGACCCAATGGTAATCCTTTTAATCTAATTCTATATTAGGTATCATACCCAAAAATAGATGGGTTAATAGTGAATATCTTATGAAGTATGATATAAACGCATTGTGTTACTATCTTCAAAAAAAGTTATGATAAATTTATATAATAATATTTCATTTTTTATAAATAAATTTCCATAAATATAACCTAAAATCCAATTGAAATTATGTGCTTTCTGATGATCATTATAATTACTCTTAGAGATAAAACATTTTGTATCCTATCTAATCTTTCCAATTTAAAAGCACGAATAGAATTAATAAACATTTAGATCAATAGTAAAGAAAAATGACTGGAGAATTTACTAATTAGTATTAGTGATATAAAGAAACATAAATTAAAATATAAATGGTTTATTCACCTATGTTTGTTATGAATGGGATGCCTCAATATAATTATAATTCTTAAAGAAATATGAAAATCTATAGAATAAGACAATATAAATTCTTTTAATTAGATCTATTTTCCAAAAGATCTTAATTTGTTACTAGTCCTATTTATTATAGATGATATGAGAAAATGGGAATAACTTCGAAAATTAAATATTAGAGTATATAAATTTAAGAAGTTTATAAAATTATGAAAAGTGGCTTCTAAGAAATCAAATTCTAATATTAAATTTCATAAATAAGGAGTATAAATAATAGTAAACAATATAAATATCGTTGTCGGCCATACTAAGCCTAAAGCACCGGATCCCATTCGAACTCCGAAGTTAAGCGGCTTAAGGCGAGGTTAGTACTAAGGTGGGGGACCGCTTGGGAAGTCCTCGTGTTGACAACCCTTTTTTTAATTATTATTATTATTATTATTATTATTATTATTATTATTATTAATAAAAAATATCATATCACTATTCGAAATTATTTTGATATCTTTAAATATTTATGTAAATTTATTATAAAGCAATATTTTTCTATTGTCTATTTTTTTAA